ACAGTGAAGACTGCACAAACCAGTCTCACAGCAAAGTGAACTGGAGAAAATGTCTAGCTGCAGTTCTCATTATTTTCTAACCTTTTCCCAGTTGCAAACTTCTGTCATTCTTCGCTGGGTTAGATTTGCAACCTGCCTGGTCATAAAGCAATGAATTATCAATATAGTTGCATCTGGCCACAAAAAGGAAACACAGAAAGTTTGTTGGAGGGGGAGGTCCCTTCCGATAAAAGTAATTGGCCATAAACTCGTACTTAGATGCCCATAACTTCCTGCAGCTGCAGATGATGACTGTTAAATACACAAAAGCTAATGTAGCAAGTCACACCCCATAAAATCTAGTTATGGTTATGTATCAAAATGATGAGACGCTTGTAAATTTCAGGTGCACCTGCACAGCTGTTTAAGACAGATTCTTCACTAACATTCCGGGCATGTTCGAGTAGCTGGCAGTAGTTTAGCCATCTATGGGAAAATATAAATAATCTCATGCAATGAGATGTAGGCTGTAGCCTTGGACACCTTTACCAGGGAGTAAGTCCCACTGAACTCAGCATGGATAACTGTTCCAAATAGACATGTAGAGTTGTTGCACAGCAAGGTACCTTAGGTGAATCTGAAGGCAGTTTCTATGGAGAAATGAGGAGGGATACAGTACAGTGCCACAGAAAACGACAGCCTTGTTAATGCTTAAGGATAAGCTATCCCTGGATGAGAGAAATAAATTGAGGGAGATGGAGGTGGGGGGAGGGCCCTTTTAGCAAGGGAAAGTGGCACTGAAACAAGAAGCCAAAACGACAGTCACCAGATTAAAATATAGATAATATAGTCAGAAGCAATGCAGGCAGGCTGGTCAGGGGTGTGTGAAGGGAAACTGGAGAGACAAAAGGTCTGATTCAGTCTAAGGTGGCTTCCTGTGTTCCTACTGGCCATGCTGGTCGATTGGGGCTAATGAGAGTCCAACAACATTTGCAAGGCACAAATTGACTATCCAGGATCTTTTACTTAAATTCTAATGCACAGGTATTCAGTAAAGCCATGCCACTTTTCTACAACCTCTGTAAGATTGGTGTAACAGTGCAGCCGGGGTTGGCAGAGGGTAATGAAGCTCCCTTATCTCACCCACCATCCTATCACTTTCATTATGACAATGAACCAGTCAGCAAAGCAGAACTGGTTTGCCATAAAATCTGTCCAAGAGGAAAAAAATGTGTAGAGTGCAAATGCTGCATAAGCTTCATCATATCCCTCTCCAAATTAAATTTCCAGCAATGCTTACAGGAGAGAAGATTAATTAAGGGTATGGCAGGAAGTGGTGAAAGTTCAGGTGAGCTTTTAAAAAAAAACCATTCAAGTTAATGGTGTTTGCAACTTATCTAAGTTACTGATAATGATTTTCCTGTTAATCTAGTTTGTTCAGAAATCAATTTTTTCCTTAAATGTGATTCTGCAGGGATAAACTTTCTTTTATCTTGTTTACGGCAACATGGACACTCCCAGGAGAGCTGCAAGGGATCAATCATTTTTCACTCCGATCCTTCTAATCCCAAAACTCAATGTTCTTCACTGATTTTTGAATGATGGCTTCAGACATTCCCTAGAGCACAGCCCTTTTGTTAGGCTGAAGCGAATGCTGCCTGTTAGGCAGGAGAAGCCAAATACAAATAAAGAGCAATTAAAGCATTGATTGAAGAACATGATTAGTGCTTTTCAAAGTCTGTCCTATTTCTGTGTCTGTGGTGGTTCTGCTTCTTCGGGGAGCGATAGATACATGCTTCTCCGTTTTTCTTAGGTCACAAGAATGCTTCTTGACCAGATGTGGTCAGACAACTGGGCTTTGATTAGGGTGGCTATGTGAAAAGAAGGGCAGGACTCAAGAGCATTAAATAGTTGAGTGGAAAAGGGAATTTCACCAGGTGCAGCTTGCCATCTGCTGAAATCCCGTCCTCTACAGAACTATTCAACGTGCATGAGTCTTGTCCTCTTTTTCACATAGGCTTCCTAGCCACAGCAGCTGTGTAAAAATACCATGTGCTTCCACAAGAATCTGCCCCACCCCACCCCATGGCAATTGTAGGGAAGCTTGTTCCACAGTCTGCTACCCTGTTGGGTGTGGAGGGTAAGGATTTTGAATAAGGCCTTATTAGTGCTACCCAGATTGTGGAGAGTGAGGGTGTGGAACAAAACCTACACAACCGTGGTGTCCAGATGCTCTGCTCTGGGAGATCCTGCATACTACAATTTTAGGTGCCTTTCAGTAGCAGGCCATTTTTGTGGAGACATACATTATATGGAAACACTAATATGACTGCCCCAGTTTGTTGAACTGGCTGGCTTTTTTGTTTTTGTTTCTGCTGCTGGTAGTGATCGATGGTGTTTTAACTGTTTTAATGGATTGATCACTTTGTACCTAATTTTTTAGTTGCCCTACGCATCTCATAGGAGTGGAAGTTTTAGGGTGAATACATTTTCATAAATAATAGAACTATTTTTCCAGATGCAACTCATCATGGGGATTGCTGACAGAAAGAGGTCAAGAGTAGACTTGTAAGATGGTAGTACCGTAAACCGTTACTGAAAAGTTTCTAAAACAGCATCTCTGGTAGTGGCAGCAATGTGTTGTGTTGGTTCCTGGCTGACTATCCAGGCAAAGTAGGCAGTCTTAGTTTGGAAATCAGCGACCCAATCCAGCTTGGAAGAGCCAGTTAGCAACCTAATGTGTGTGTATCCCAGGCTATAAGAAATCATGGGCAGGTAAGGCTTTGCCTGTTTTTTAATATTGTATTTGGCAGCAGAAAATTGCACAACTACTTAAGATATTTTTTAAAAAAATATTTTCTCAAATTTCACATGTAGAGGTAAAGCAACTGCTGCTGAATGCATTGTAATATATTCAGTTTAAAATCCCAAGCAACTAGACTACAGTATTTACATTCTTCTCCAACAATAGGACTAACAGCAGACCAACAGTGTTGGAACCAAGAAGAATAATATCCCTGCCATCACATCTTTATACTGAGAAAGGCTATAACTGTTCCATCTGTTACACAGCTGCACATAGGGGCCTCACCAGAGAAATAAAAAGTGGGCCCATCCCATACTCACAGCTTGCTTTTCTTCTGCCCTGCCCTGTTATAAGCAACTACATTTTCTAAGTGTAAAGGCATAACCAAATATAGGTCTTGGCCATGTTTTTGAATGACTTCCTTTAGAGTAGTCTGAAGAGGTAAGAAAAGCAGGTACAACAGGAGAAAGTGAGCATACTTTCATCTTGCCAGGGCTGGAGATCTTTGCCCCACTGCAGACTTCTGCCACTTACTACTGAAATATACAGTGGTACCTCGGGTTAAGTACTTAATTTGTTCCGGAGGTCTGTTCTTAACCTGAAACTGTTCTTAACCTGAGGTACCACTTTAGCTAATAGGGCCTCCCGCTGCCACGCGATTTCTGTTCTCATCCTGAAGTTCTTAACCTGAGGTACTACTTCCAGGTTAGCGGAGTCTGTAACCTGAAGCGTCTGTAACCAGAAGTGTTTGTAACCCAAGGTATCACTGTACTGCTTGTCTCCAAGTTATAAAAATGGTTATTAATCACATCAGTTACCATCTTTGCTCCATCTCTGAAGTAGGCTAGGCAGAAACTCTTGCTTAGGCTGGATGTAGACACATCAAAGAAGTGTTTCAGTTAAACGAGTTGTAAACTTTGTATGAGAAATTGGATTGGCAAAAACAGAACTCCACACCGCCATCTGGTGTCACAGTGTTATAATGCATATTCAATGCATATAAAGTGCTTTTTCTTTGCCAATGTAGCCGAATCCTTAGTGTGGTCTGGGTATAAAACACGCGCGCACCACTTTTTGGAGTGAGGGCTATTGAACACACTGAGCTTTGTTCAAATATGCAGGGGATTAAATTCAAAACACTGAAATGCAGCCTTCATTAGCTGGTGGTAGTGGTTGTTTTTCACATGTCAGAGAAACTAAGAAGAAAGGTATAAAGCTCACAACACCCAAAGAAATGCAGTCCCTATGCATACAAACTGTTGTTATGGGTCTCAAACTTTCTACCCACAGGGCCCATTTAAGAGAGATGAAAATTACTGAGGACCAGAAGTCACAAAATGGTGGCAGATGCAGACAAGCATTCCACATAATCAACAGATGATTACTAATATAACCTTCTACCGATAGTCAATCCATTGTTGCAGACGGCCAAAGCATTTTCCTTCCGGCAAGTTGCTCTATAGTTCAACTACAGGGGAGGCAATATAAGCCAGTCTCTCCCTTCTGCACAGCTGATCCACTAACTCTAAAATTTGCTTTCCCTTGTTCTCTTCACAATCCTGCATGTATCAAAAAGCATTCTTCTCCTGTTCTCTTTTCACAGTCACATTGCAACATTCACTTCTTCTTCCTACAACACATTATTTCTCTTATTTTTATTTTCTATTCCGAGTTTAAACAACAAAATAGCTCATTAAATTTCTAGCTCGATTTTTACTTTCCTTCAACCTTTCCTGTGGCCCTTTTGCTTCAGAGGAGGGAAACCTTTCTTTCCAACATCCCTACTGAAACTTCTCCATTTCCTGGCCACCTTTGCTCAGCTAAGACTTGTGGTGTTGACAGTGGAGCATCAAAAATCTGAGGCCCAGGTAAGGGTTGGGGCAGGCACTGTGGCCTACCTGAAAGGGGCTTGGCCTACAGTCTGAGAAACATTACTATTGATTACACAGCTCCATGCTGGAAAGATTGACCATACTCCAGTTACTTACACACAAAGAGACATATTCTTTCTGCAGAAAACATTCCCAGCCCCTTTTACAAATAATACTTGGTTGCTTACTTTTTGCATCTTCCTCTAAGGTTGCACGCATGGAGAACAAAGGGAATATCCTTGCCTCAGGCTTTCCTAACCTTTCAGTCTCTTTCCTTCTCCACTCCACTGTAGAAAATAAAACCTACATATAATATATATATATAAGAAAATAAATAGACTCACTGTTGCTGGTTTGGTAGCCTGTTTGCTCTAAAAGTGAGGGAACAAACTGATGGATCGATCCTGATTCAGAAGAGCAAGGTATTGCAAATGTATGCATGTGATTGGCCCACGTGAAAATACATATACAGTACTGGGTTGGTAAAGAGATATTGAGAACTGCAGCCTATGCTCTGAAGTTTCTTAACAGGCCATGAGGGACTCTTCTGATTGCCAGGTGCAGCTGATAACATTCTGCTTAACCCTTTCCTAGCTTTATAGGCCAGCATTGTTACTTTGCTTTTTAAAACAGCCCCCCACCCCCAATGATGGGGGTAGGAACTGCTCTGCAAAGTGATTTGTAACTGGCTGTGATGTAGAGACAGCAGATTGTTTCTGCATCTCCTGTAGTGGCCAATGACAGAAAATTTCTCAGACTTATAAACAAGTGAAAATGTGTGTGTGGGGGGTGTGTGTTTTATATTCTAGAGATCAGAGAGCCTAATTAAGAATGTGGCTGCCAGGGACAGTGTTTACTGCAAAGAAAGCAGTGTGTACCAGCTTTTGGCCATCTATCTCATAACGATAAGGCCATCTCAACCCCGAACTCATTGAAATTCCAAAGGGCTTTGTGAATGAAGTAGGAAAACGGAAGCTTCTTTTGCAGGTAAATGCAACTTCCAAGAAACTGGATGGCAAGTTTCAGCACAGCATTAATAAAGTGCAAGAGCCCTCTGCTGTGGACATCTGCCCCTCTGTGCTGAAGACAAGTCCTGGTTCCAGTGCTTTTTTTCCTTTTTTAAAAAAATGATTTTTAGGGGTACGCTCATTTTCCTACTCATATTGAAATACTGCCGCTCAATGAGGCCAAACTTCGATTCACAAAATGTTTAGGGGTGTGCGTCTCCTGAGAAAAAGCACTGCCTGATTCTGTGTAGAAGCCTAGGCTCTGTGCACGTAGGACCTACCACAGATAATCAATGGTGATGCTCACCAGTTGTTGGAAACGACTCAGGAGCAAGATGTAGGTTGCAATTCTAGCTTATGCACACTTGGGTGTAAGGACTCCATTGAACCCAATTAAACTTCTGAATAAACAGGCTTAGGATTTCTTAGTTTGTCTCTTCTCTGGTCTGTCCATAACAAGGGCTACAAAGAGAAATAAGAGCTGTGTCGGGGCCAGAGATGGAAATGCATTTAAATAGGATGTTGGTTTTTAAAGATGAATTGTGCAGCTTCCTCTGCTGCACAGCCTAATTTGTGAACCTAATCAATCCTTGGTTCAGCAAAGTGGTTTGTTTTTCAAAAGAGGTCTGCTTCTGACCCATAAAATGCTTGGCTTTTAGAAAGTGAATTTGAAAGATGCTTTTAAAACAATTGGATAATCATGTCATACCAGGAACATGATGTTGAAGCTAATATCATTGCTGAATGCACAACAAATACCATTAAAGCCCACATTTTCTCTTTCAATAGCTAATTTTCTGATCTCAGTCACAGGTGGTGGTAAAGTAAGACTTTTTTAAAAAATCTGCACTGAAATATTTTCCCATACACACATGCACCCCAAAAAACAACAAAAAACACACACACCCAAACCCCTAAAGACTATGTATTGCTGTAGTCTGGTATAAAGTCTTTGTTAGGGATGATTACATTTCTGTGGAGAAACATAATAGAACCATCATGGACTTTCTCTCAGACTACTTTTATATTTCAGAAAGGAAAATCTGTCTTGAAGCCTATATACTTATTCAGCCCCATTTTTCCTTTGTACCAACCAAGCCAGTGTAAGGTAAAGATCCCCCCCCACCCTTGATGGAAAGTAAATTGGATGGAATTGGACATAAGGGAGGTTCAGGATAATTGTCTTCTCCCAGTGGAAAAAACAATACCCTCACTGGAAATTGAACCTGGCAGATTGCTATGGCATCCCTCGATTTTGCATTGGATTGCCACTTACATCTGTTTATTAAGGACAATTTTTCTAGACATTTCACATTCATTAGAAGCCAGTGCTAGTCCTGAAGAATTTGCTGTGTAATAGTTATTCATCCGCAAATTGCACCCTACATTTTCCTCCACAATCACTTTTCTGGCAGTATATTATTAATTATGCATAGCTTTCTGAAAGTACAGTGGGAAACTTTACAACTCTGAAATTTGCACATTTTGAAAACTCGGAGGAAGGCAGGAGCTCCCACACGTTGAATAGTTGTGTAAAAGAAGGAATTTCATAGGTGTTGCTTGCCCAACGAAAGCTCCCTCCCGCTTTTCAGCTGGCCAGCCTATCCACCATTTTGTTTGCCAGCCGCAAAATGAAGTATTAGCTGTGCTCCTTAAGCATGATTACTAGAAAGTAAACCTCCTTGGACTTACTTCTGAGTATCCCAGTTGTAAAAGTAGCAGTAGGAATGCAATTCATTAACCCTCTACTCCGAAGGTACTGTCCACAATACTAAGTCGTCCTCTTTGAGTAGCTCTGTGTGGAAACTCAGTGGAGTGCTGGGCATGGACGTGTGAAAGCAAGATTCAGATCTCTATTCCACATAAAAGGTGGTGCATCATTAATACATAGCACCTGCTTAACTCCTCATTGAACCATGTAGAAAAATATGGGGGAAATATGGGAAATAAGAAAAGGCGGATTACTTAAAAGTGATTAAAAGTGATTGAGGAGATAGAGGCGTCCTGTAGAATCCCATTATTATTCTGGTCAGCCAAATGTATTGGTTTTATTACTGGGTGTTCTTCTCTTCTACCTCTCGCTTCTCCCTGAAAGATAAAGCACCTTACAAAATACCTCTCAATACCAGTTGCTGGTATTGGAGAGTGGGGAGAGGGCTGTTATGCTCATGCAGCTCCTGCTTCTGGGTTTTGCACAGGCATTCATCTGGTTGGCTGCTGTTAGACCAGATTGGCCTTGGGCCTGATCAAGCAGAATGCTGCTTACGTGCTCTTGTTGAAGCTAAATTATCTGGTTTAATCTGTATTTCATATTAGACTACAGTGGTACCTCGGGTTGCAGATGCTTCAGGTTACAGACTCTGCTAACCCAGAAATAGTTACCTCGGGTTAAGAACTTTGCTTTAGGATGAGAACAGAAATTGCACTCCGGCAGCGTGGCGGCAGCAGGAGGCCCCATTAGCTAAAGTGGTGCTTCAGGTTAAGAACAGTTTCAGGTTAAGAACGGACCTCCAGAATGAATTAAGTTCTTGACCCGAGGTACCACTGTATAGCTATTGTTATTTTCAATTTGGGGAGCTGCATACAATAGAAAAAGCCACTCGTTCCTGTTTGTTCCAAGGAAGAGAAATTCAACCCAGTTCACATTTAAAGATGATTCTGCCTAATTTGCAGTTTCTGAACTGAAAAGCAGCCGTTCTTCAAAATCTCTGAATTTTGCAGTGCAGTTCTCGAGCCACTTAATGTGTACAAAAAGGTATATACTAGGGTACAGTATGCATATCAATGCATATGCTACTGAAAATAACATACAAAAATGAATCAGGGGAAATTGTGTTGCAAAAAAGTGCATACAAATGAGTATATTAGGATAAATTCCCTATAAAATGTTGATGAATTTTCATGAGGACTTAAAAAGAAACAAAAAACCTCAATTGATGTGGAAATGTGAAGAATCCATTGTCCAAGTAGTTACTTCAGAAAAAGTTGTATTAGGGGACTTGCCACCATAGGGAGTACAATCTGGCTGCATCAGTGACTTTCTTCCCCACTAATGCTAATAGCATGTTCAGTATTGCCTTTAATGAAGGTGCTCTATTTGTTAAACACATTGTTGATTTTCACACCTTAGTTTCATCAGGATAGTACTGTTTTTCCAGAACATGACATGTTTTCACATTGTGAAAGTAATACATGCCCTCTTGCTGTATGGAAACCATGAAACTGTGTTGGTTGGTTTCTAAACAGTGTTGCTTTCAAAACAGTGGTATAATGGTTTCAACAACTACACCAGTAGGTGACATAATTCATATTTTGAAGAAGTTAGGGGAAATGGAAGGACCTGGCATCATACATATTGCCATAGCTGTGAACTTTTCCCTTTTCTTGCGAGGAATCCTATTCGGAATGAGGGAATTTCCCTTAAAAAAGGGAGAAACGTTGACAGCTATGCATATTGCACCCATGAGGGTGTGTTTTAAATGCACACCTATTTAAAGGGTCCTGATTAACTTTGAAAAGCCATCCCTACTAAATTACTTATCCAAAGACTGATAAGATGCCCAATATGTTCCCAGCATTTTCTCTCTTTTGTTGCAAAAAACCCTGTGCAAATTTTCCTAACAGATTCCTCCTTCAGCTACTTTTCAAAGCCTACCTCACTGATTAACAAACTGGTCTTCATATGGTAGTGGCCTATAACTGGATTGTGTATCCTGAGTTACAGTGGACAATATCAACAGCACGACTACCATTTTCTTTTAAATGTGGGGTATTTTGAGAGAGAAAGAGAGAAAGAGAGGGAGGAACTGAGAAACACAGGTGTAATGATGTTGCTTGCTTAACCCACCTGGTTTATTAACCATGGTTGCTTGCCGATCGAAAGGTTGGCGGTTCGAATCCCCGCGGCGGGGTGCGCTCCCGTTGTTTGGTCCCAGCGCCTGCCAACCTAGCAGTTCGAAAGCACCCCCGGGTGCAAGTAGATAAATAGGGACCGCTTACTAGCGGGAAGGTAAACAGCGTTCCGTGTGCGGCTCTGGCTCGCCAGAGTAGCTTCGTCACGCTGGCCACATGACCCGGAAGTGTCTCCGGACAGCGCTGGCCCCCGGCCTCTTGAGTGAGATGGGCGCACAACCCTAGAGTCTGTCAAGACTGGCCCGTACGGGCAGGGGTACCTTTACCTTTAAGTGATCAGAAGTGAGCTATGACATACATTCCTTTCCCCTCCATAGCCTTTTCCTGGAGCACAAGTTTCCACCCTTCCCTGGCTGAGCTTAACCAGGGTTAACCATTACATTGGCATTGATACAAAACCACAGTTACAGCTAACCAGGATTTCTGATTAATCCTAGATCAGAAACCAGTTGCAGTGGCCAGAACATGGGTCAGGCAATCAAAGGACAGGAAAGAAGAAAACGTATTAGCACCAAGCAGTGCACCTAATATAGGTATGTGTGGCTTAAGATGATTATGGTCAGTTACAGCTTAAGTCTGTATAATCCTGCTGGCAAGAGAGGTTAAAGAAGGGCAACGTTATTAATCTTGCT